ACACCTTCTCTTTTCTCCACACAAATTAGTATAATCTTCGATTTAATTAGAAAAAAATGTATAATTAGTGCCTGAAATTTCATAAATATACTTTTAATATACTAAAGTCATATCACTCCTAAATTTATTTTATAAATAATTTTCTACGTGACACTAGTTTAAAAAAAAATATCAGCACATGCTGAATCCACAAGATAGTATCACATACATTCAAAAGAGATAAAAAATTATTTATAAGTTTAGGAGGTAATAGGACCTTAGTATAGCATAAGTGTGTCTCTGAAATTTCGAACATAGGTTAAAAAGGTACTTGTGCGTTATCCCGTTTAATTATGACAAAAACAAGACAATAAATGTTGTTCATGGATATAATTATATGAGTATTTTTTATTGAAAAAAAAATTGAATCGTTAAAAATAAAAAAATCGATAATAAATATCTTATAAATTTAATTTTGATTTAAAATTTCAGCATTAAAAGTTAAAATTCTTTTCTTAATTTAATTTTTTTTGGAATATTCCCTATAACAATGAAAAATTTTCTGCATGTATGCACAAATCAGTCCATCATATAACATTTGTTAAATCAGATCAAATCGATTTACTAATGGGATATCCTAATACGTTACAAAAATATATTTTAGCTAATGATCCAATCAAAGGAATAATTAAAACAAGGGTTCGAACTTCTTAATTGAATTATTGATGAGAAATGAATTTTCTAATATTTGACTATGTATCATTGAATAATTTATTAACACACTTGAGAGACATTTCATAAATCGAACAGCTTATTAGGAGTAAACATAAATACTAAAAATCAAATTGAACTAATTTAATTTTTCGGTGCAACGTCAGTTTTTTTCCTCAAATAATTCGATCTGGTGTTCGATGCAAGGATCACGATATCGCGATGCATCAGATATTCGAAATTTCATTAAATAAAATAAAAAAAATATTTTATATTTCAAATTATATTAATGATATATTTTAAGTTTTGAACCAACACAATTTAATATAATTTTTATACAAATTTAATACAGACTTCTCAGAATTTTTATACATTTAATACAATTTTGATATAACCTTAATACATTTTATTAGAACTTCACCTAATATATGACAAACATTCTTAATACAAATATAATATAAGTAGTGTATGTGAATTTGAAACGTTTGAATACTATTTAAATTAAAATTTACATCGTTAAAAATATATTATATTTATTCTGAATAAATACTATCAAATTTATAATATATAATATTAAAATTGAATTGTATTATAACTATAGTTTATATTTATATATATAACTAGTGAATTTAACCGCGCTTCGCGCGATGATAATTTTTGATATAGTTATCACTTATTAAAATTCAAACTTTAATCTAATCGATTGTTAATATGTGCTTTCCACTAAATTGTATCATTTGAAAGTGTGATATAATTTGAAGAAAGATTGATCCCTTGTATTACCTTATGTCATCAAATGGCATAAAAATATATTTACTCTACTTGAGCATGTGAAAGTAAACAATAATATTTGATTTTTTTTCACAGCATCTCTTTAATGAGTTTTGCTATATAATTTTTATCTTCCTTTTTTTCTATATTTTTTAAAAAAAATTCTCTCTTTTTTTGTTGACTTTTTTTATCCATCGCCCTTTTACCATTTTGTTCATGAATTATCATTTTCTTGAGAGTTAAATTCTGAAAGAAAATGATGTTGGAAGTAAAAAATTTTATCTTTCAGTAAATTCACTTTGAAGTTGAATTTTAAAATTTTAAAAATCAATAAAAATATGTTTCACCTTTTCACTTTAAATTATTTATAATTCAAAAAACAAACTTTTATTTGTGCTCACAAAAAAAAATTAAACGATTAAAAACTTTGAAATAATTATTCTTTATAAAATTCACAATTTTCACACTAAACAATGCATTAATGCTTGTTTTTTCTTCACCTTCATTTTTCGCATCCTTCTTTTTACCGTTACTTCTC